TTCTTTCCAGGTCCTGACCAGAGACCTAAGGTCAGAAATAGTATTATGACGTTTTCCACTGAGCAGTTTTGGAAGGTTTTGCACGTATTTTACATAGATAACGCCCTTCATAAGGTGTAGGCTGTACTCGTGAGTACAATTTTTTGTATTTCTTTAAGTCATGGCCTACCAGGGATTCCTTCAGTGAGTCTATTGGAATCTTTTCCAATCAATCTGAGGGCTCCAACTATAACTGGAATTGTTAATGTATTCATGTGCCACATTTTTAAGATTTCAATTTCAGTGTCCTTGTATGTTGATAGTTTTTGAAGATCTTCAAAGATACATTGCAGTCTGCCATTGTGTTAATGATAGTGATCATGTTGGACGTTTTTAGTTTTTGGCAAGGAGTGATGAGTTCAATTTGTTTTTGTCATTATTTTTTTTTATTAATGAAGTATACTAAGTATAATTGTTCCTAAATTTGATAACATTTTATTCATGTTGTGTTAATTTGTTGTTAATTTGAGAAAAACTGCTGTCAAATTTAAATTAATTTATCCATTATCTCATTTTCTTGATAATTCAATAAAGAATTTTAAGATAATTATTTTGTTTTTCTTTTATAAAATGAGTCTATGTGTGAACGCTGGTGAGATTTGTGTCTGTATATGTTTGCAAAAGCTTCTCCATCAGGGAATTTTATGATATAACATACACGGAAAAAATTCAGTTAGCAAATTGATTTTATTAATAAATTGATGCAAATTAAGATGAAAATATTAACAAAATCAAGACTAACACACACATGATCTCTCTCTCTCTCTCTCTCTCTCTCTCACACACACACACACACATATATATATATAAATTATATTAAGAAACAAACAACTTTAAGTGTTCATGGTGATTACAATTTATTTCCTTAGAATCAGAGTTTGATTCTAAGGAAATAAATTATAATCCTATGAACCCTTAAAGTTGTCTGTTTATTAATATAATTAATATTTGCTCTGTTTTTACATTGAGCTCTCTGGATTATATCCTCCCTGGAATTATCCATATGGTCTACCAAACACATCTTTATATTTACATCTGCTCTATCATTCATATAGGGTACTTTAACGCATAAATATAGCATACCTTAAAACTATATTTTATCATATATTTTATTTATTTATATTTTCTCATATTTTCTCATTGTTTATTTATTTTTAAAAGTAATATAGTGATCATTGTTTTGGTTTTTTTAAAATAAAACATTGGGAGGTCAATTGATCAAAGTTACCTGAGGATACCATAAGGTTGAAACCAATGTAGCGAAATCAACTGATCTCTTAATTTTTTAAATATATATATATATATATATATATATATATATATATATATATATATATATATTGGGTATATTTAGGCAGCAGTTTTTCATTTGTACAAGTTTGGATAAAGATCAATGAAAGTTCTTGATGTTTCAGACCATTTTCATTGTTTTTGGTACAATATAATTTGTCATAATATGATTGTTATATATTTCCAATATAAATTTAAATAAAAATTGTTCAATATTTGAATACTTTTGTCTTTTATAAAGCATTATCAAAGAGATTTTTCTTTTGGCTTTTTTTTCTGTTTTATCATTTTAAAATATCACTTCTTTGTCTCTTGTCTTCACGTGCATGTTTCTGCTATTATTCTTTTATATTTCTATCATTTTTTTATTAACATATAATATGTATATATTAGTATATATAATATTTTTGTAATGTTTTTTTCCTAAATTTAATAACATTTAATGGTGTTGGGTTGTTTGTATTTTATGATTAATGCTTCTGTTATTTGTAGTCATTTTTTACAGTTTCTTTAATATAGTTTTATTATTTTGTGTACAGTGTATTATTTTGTGTTATTCATAAGGATTTGTTAGATTTCTTGTGCTTTTCTGTTGTGTTTGCTGGTGTTATGGAAATGGCCCAAAATACAGAGACTTTGTTAGTCTTTAGTCTTTAACCAAACTTATATATATATATATATATATATATATATATATATATATATATATTCGGTTGGATTGATGTGAGTTTGTGACCCTGGGTTTCATGCTTTTGCAATCGTCAGAGTTTGTCTGACAATCACAAAAGCGTGAAACCCAAGGTCACAAACTCACATCAATCCAACCAAATATGTTAGCTCTATCTCTGATATTGAGTGCTTTCTTATAAGTACCACGCATATAATATATAAATAATTATATATATATACATATTTATTTATATTTATACACACTTTTCACACACACACACACACACACACATATATATATATATATATATATATATATATATATATATATATGCACATTTCATTGAATGCAACAGACAATGTAGCTAATAGCAAGGACGAGAATAGAAACATAAACAATAACATTAATATCTTATATAAAATTTTATAAAAATCAAATAAATGAAAATTATAAACAAGACGAAAATAGAATTAAGAACATTATAAAAATGCACAACACCAGTTGACAATAGCAAAAAAATTATATTAATTATATATTACAAAAATTTTAAATTTCTAACCCTTATAGTTAAAAGCAATAATTCATTTCTTAGAAAAAATTAAATAGGATAAAATATTATTTATGAATTTAAATGCCCATTAAGAAATTGTATTCTTGATCAATCAAAATTCATAAATAATTATATAGGCCATACTACAACATGTTAGACACACAGACTCACTCTACACCTTTCTGACAATAGTTCAATTAGATTTCATTTAAATATTCCTGGAGACCTACCAGATCCTATTCGTAACATACTAATTAACAACACTAATATAATAACATCATCTACATGCACACAATGGCTAAAAATAATGGAAGCTTTATTAATAAAAACAAAAAAAACAACACTTAATGATATCAACTATGAATATGGACACAATACCTTGACCTTGTTTTGAAAAATCAAAACATTATATAAATACATACATGCAACAAACTATTTTTTATTTAACATTTAAAATATTTCATCCTTGAAAATGGCTAAATGTATAGCCAAAAGTGCTCAGATTGTAAAAATATTCAGACAGATTTTATATAATTTATCATCTGAAAAGAAAAAGTTATTAGATCGCATGAGAAATTGTATAAAAAAAACTAAATCAAAGCACCTTGTCTGTTGGATTCAATGAAATGTGCATGAAAGAAGGATTGCTGTCTAAATACAATACCTATATATATATATATATATATATATATATATATATATATATATATATATATATATATATATATATATTTATATAAATTCATGAATCATTCATACAAAAAACAAATATAGAGGTTAATGATTTAAATGGCGAGAATACTTTGTTGCAAACAATATAAATAAGATACACCAACCCCGAACCTGTATATGAATGATATGATCCCTGTTTATAAATTCTTTTAATTGAAATTAAAATAACTGATCCAACATGCAAGTCTCGGATAATAAGTGTGACATTACTGTAATTATTGAACAATATAGTTCATGCCATATTCATGGAAAATCTACCAGTAAAAAAGAATTCTCTTATTGCTATATTTGTACAAAAATGCAGAACCTTAAAAGTTAAATTCAAACTCAGCATTGCAACCGCACGTTCCAAAATAATAACACATTTCTCATAGCATTTTTTCGGATTACATCTCTATTTTCATTGTCCTCTTATTACTGAGAAGTAAAAACAAGAACAAAATCTACTTCCATACCTGATGATGTCTGTATGAACAGACGAAAGCTTGTAATAAATTAAAAAGACCTTATACAACTGGAATTTATAAACAGGGATCATATCATTCATATACAGGTTCGGAGTTGATGTATCTTATTTATATTGTTCGCGATGATGTATTCTCGCCATTTAAATCATTAATATATATATTATATTTGTTTTTTGTATGAATGATTCATGAATTTATAAATTATATTTACACCTTTTAATTGAAATATATATATATATATGTGTGTGTGTGTGTGTGTGTGCTTTTTCTTTTCTTTTTCTTTTTTTTAAACATCTTTTCTTCAGTTAAATACATAAAATGAATCTACTCCTACACATTTTTGGTCAAAGTATAGACTATTTAAGTTCCATTAATGGTCGACTTTTTGATAAGGGAAAGAGGAAAAATGTAATTTTTTGTGCTTTGGAACCTTTCCAAAACATACATGGATTAATGCAGCAGTCAATTAATTGATTATTTTGTCAATAAAAACGTTTGCCTTACTAATATATATAAGAACATGCAATAATAAGAAGGGGGGGGAGAAAAAAAACAGGAAGAGAGAAAAAGTGCAGTTTAAAATGGATGAACCCTGTAAGTCCTAAAGAGGAACATCCTTCTGTATACCTCATGAACTGGTGCTACAGAATTAAAAAGAATTGTACTAAATAGCAGAATCCACATCACTTGAGGACTTTCAATTTCAGCGCCAACTAAAATGGATAGAACATGTAACTCAAAAAGAAATTAAAGACAAAAGTAATATGTTAAAGTTCTACACTATTTCAAATAAAAGGTGAGGAAGGAAACCTTCATCAGTACTGGAAAGAGCTATAACAGCTACTGGACTTGAGAAACCTATTTTCCTGAAAATTGTTTTAATGATTTTATAAATCTCAAGTTACAGTGATACTGGTTGTTTGTTTAATGAATGCTGAATGTTTCCTTATAAGGAAACAACTAACATTTCTCGATTGACTGCTTGATTTGTTTTTTACAGCTTATCAACCTTTTTGAGGTTATTTAAGGCTGAAATATATATTTTGGATTGTAATAAATTTTGGAAATAATAACAATTTTCTGATACAAGTCTTACTATTTAACCCATAGTTGGGAGAAGAAAAAGTAGATTCATACTTTTTCCAAGGGTATTTGCATGTAAATGAATATAATGGGCCCTACTGGAATTTGAACTCAACTCTGTCATTTATCATTCCAAGCCTTTATCTATTATACCAACCACACATCAAAGCTTACAGCACCAGGTATTCCTAAGTGGTCACCCATCTAGATACTGACCAGGTTCAATGTTGCTTAAATTCAGTGATCAGATATGAACCAGTGTATCAACATAGTATGGCTATAAGCCTGATAATATTGCTTAATATTAACTATTACCATAATCTAGCAAAAAATTTATATTTATAAAGCAGAGAATACAAATAACAAGTTATATTCCGTGTTAATAGGAATATATACTTGAAAAACAAGGTGGATAAAATAAGTAAAGGTTTATTGTACAAAACCAGTACAATATGAATAAAGGTAACAGTTATGTATAAGGTCATCGCAAGTCAATCCAGTAGTGAGTGCTACTATTGGAAGGTTGGTAGTTCTCATGTAAATCTAAATCATACTCAGCAGATCCCAGCTAGAATATTTAGCCACCCCCACCCCACGAGGGTTTCATGTGGCACAACCCCAGGTTTAATGTGCGTTCTCCAAATATTCCCTTTTGAACCTGTATAAATGGTTTCAAGGGCAGTCTACCTGCCCGAATGAGACTCTACTCTTTGGCGGAGCCTCGTCCGGGTTCCTCTACGCCCAATGGCAGAGAGTTTGACTGTCCAGTTTGGCTGGAACAGGTCACAGCTAGTATATTTAGCTATCCCCCCACGAGGGTTGCATGTAGCACAAGGCTGGTTTAACGTGGGTTCTTCGAGCCCATAGGCTCAGCCCAAAATATTCCCTTTTTGAACCCGTATAAACGGGTTCAGGGGCAGTCTGCCTCCACAAAGGAGACTCTGCTCTTCAGTGGAGCCTCATCTGAGTTCTTCTCTGCCTTTGGGCAGAGAGTTTGACTGTTTTGCTGGAACAGGTCACAGCTAGGCTCTATAGTCCATTGACTTACAGATACTTATAGGTAGTCAGTCAGTCGAGTTCAGAGGCAGTCCGAAACAGAGTCATGTTCAGACAATTACTACTAAACCTGATTGTTCGTACTAACATTTTCTACTTCTCTGTATATATTCCTGTTTGTAATATATCTGTGTTATTCCATATAAGTGTTTGAGTTCTTCTTTATTGGTTCTACCTTAGACTGTCACCGTGGTACAAGGAACCGGACCATAACAATAAGTGATTATCATCAGTAACAGTTGTCACTTTTGGGGCACCTGCACGTTTTATGTCAATATTTGTATCAATTTCTAACTACTTTTGTAACAGATATTGCTCCTTTTGTATATAAATCTTCACCTTCTTGTCAATTTCTCTTTGAGAGTAGATGTCTTTGAATAAAATTTTAATTTGTGCCCTCACCTCAATGCTTAGCTGCTTTGGTTTTGTCATTTCGTGCTTGTTACTTCAAAATTAAAAAAATAAATAAGAAAATCTATGAAAATGCAGTCATAATAGCACAGTCTGATTTTTTTTTCGTCAAACTGAGCCAACTGTATATGTTTTCTTTATATTATTAGTCAGTACTGAGTTAACATTTAGAATTTGTATAAACATTTAATTTTAAAATTTTAGTAATCTCAAAAAGTCTACAGAGGGATTAATGGTGAAAACAAGATATAATGTTTCTTATACAAAATATTCATAATTTAGCAAAATGTATTGTTGATGTATGTATCCAAATTTGAACATCTTGGTAGTAAGAGGAACCAGGAGAAAGTAATAAAAATAAAAGCAACGACATGGTGGTTCTTAAAATTTTATATTTTACTTTTAAAAATGTACAAAAATATCTCAATTTAAGGTGTTTTTTTTTCAAACAAATACTGGATAGTTCCAAACCCTTTGCCTATAGTGTATTTATAGACATGGATAAAGATATAGCATTACCATATGTATTATTATAAATATTATTATATGTATTATCATATAATATGATATGCATTATCATATCATTATATGTATTATCATATGTATTATTATATGCATTATTATAAGTATTATTTTATGTATTATCATATATTATGATATGCATTATCATATCATTATATGTATTATCATATGTATTATTATATGCATTATTATAAGTATTATTTTATGTATTATCATATATTATGATATGCATTATCATATCATTATATGTATTATCATATGTATTATTATATGCATTATTATAAGTATTATTTTATGTATTATCATATATTATGATATGCATTATCATATCATTATATGTATTATCATATGTATTATTATATGCATTATTATAAGTATTATTTTATGTATTATCATATATTATATGCATTATCATATCATTATATGTATTATCATATGTATTATTATATGCATTATTATAAGTATTATTTTATGTATTATCATATATTATGATATGCATTATCATATCATTATATGTATTATCATATGTATTATTATATGCATTATTATAAGTATTATTTTTATGTATTATCATATATTATGATATGCATTATCATATCATTATATGTATTATCATATGTATTATTATATGCATTATTATAAGTATTATTTTATGTATTATCATATATTATGATATGCATTATCATATCATTATATGTATTATCATATGTATTATTATATGCATTATTATAAGTATTATTTTATGTATTATCATATATTATGATATGCATTATCATATCATTATATGTATTATCATATGTATTATATGCATTATTATAAGTATTATTTTATGTATTATCATATATTATGATATGCATTATCATATCATTATATGTATTATCATATGTATTATTATATGCATTATTATAAGTATTATTTTATGTATTATCATATAATATGTTATGCATTATCATATCATTATATGTATTATCATATGTATTATTATATGCATTATTATAAGTATTATTTTATGTATTATCATATATTATGATATGCATTATCATATCATTATTTGTATTATCATATGTATTATTATATGCATTATTATAAGTATTATTTTATGTATTATCATATATTTATTGCTTGTTAAATGAATGGAAATTTAATATACTTCTGAGACATTTGGAAAGACAGTCGATTATCTATTGTCTAATAATCTAGCCATAATTTATGAAGTAATATCTGTACATAAATTTAGGCATTCTTATATAGCAGTCATGAGCTAACTGTTGCCCCTGAGCCACATGTGGCTCAAGTGGCTTTCTGAAAGGTATGTCTAATTTCATGAGGAAAACAACGTTTATGAAAGTCTTGTTCGTTCACACATTTTTATGCATAGCAACATGCAGAAACAATGATTAAGTACAATGTTTCTTGAATTTTGTAACTTTTTGTTAAAGGTAACACTGTCAGCATTTTAAACCATTGGTGATTTTCACTAAAAAAGATCATACGTGTAAACATCTTTTGCTTCTGAAATAGGAAACGTCAATGATAATTATTATTCTTTTGAGAGTCAATAAACTTCTTTTAAAAATACTTTTATATAAACAAGAGTGTTTATTAATTTTTCTGTCATCGGTGATAATATTATACCATGATTTCCTGTTCTTTAGAAGCACAAAAGACAAAAATAAAAAAGAAATGAAAAAATCAACTTTTCCCCATTTCTAAGGCAGATGTTTATGCACGTGGTCTTTTGTTGGGAAATGACTTCGGTGTCTTTAATGAAAAATTACCTTGATATTGTTTTAGTCATGTCGCCCACCTTATGATGTACTGTGGCTCATGTGGCCTGCTGATGTATTGTACCTCCTGTGGCTTACTTTTCAAAAAGGATTGTCTATACCTACTCAACAAGATATCTGTATAACCAATGCAAAAAGATAGGATGCAAGAAGATCACCTTTGATCACATTATTTGTTCTTTTTATAAATAATTACCTATGATTAATTTAAATAAATAATTTAATATCTGTCTATATTTCTACACTATTTACATTATTTGGACTATTGTCCTCATCTTTGTCGCCATATTTATTACAACATTTCGGCCGTTGTACACTCCAGCCTTCTTCAGGTGTTTGGAATGTCGAACTGAACCCTTTATTTTGCTCACTGGGGTAGACTGTTCTAGTTCCATGTGCCATGTTTAATGAATGTCAGTTATCAGTTATCTCCTGTTAATTTCCCTCTGAAAGTACTCCACTGCCTTAACCGAGTATTGAACTCACACACTTTGGGTCCTGTCACTGAATCTAACATGCCTTTAACCCCTGAGGACATCTGTGTATGAATTTCTGGGTATTATAAACCTAATGTCTTCAGCAACCATTTTTTACCAGTGTGTTGTAATAAATATGGTGACAAACATGAGGACAATAGTCTGAATAATGTAAATAATGTAAATAATTTAATCCATTTAAATATTTTTTTTGTGTTTGAAGGATGTATAGCAGTATCTGAAATAAACTTATAGATGATGGGACAGAGTGGAAAATTATATTAACAATGCATTTTGTTGGGGAAAGTATGTGCTTTCTTTGGCTTACTCAGGTTAAAATGAAAGAAAGACAAAACTGGATGGAAGTAAAATGCTTTAGTATATCTGAGGATGTGGGAATCATAAATCAAATTAATTTTCTTATCTTATCAACTCCCAATTTATTTTTTATATATTTTATTTTTATATATATTTAAAAAAAAAATCTCTCTTGAATTTTTGAATTTTTTCAAATCTTTTTTACCACAATGCACTAATTTTCAAATATCTTTTTAACTAATATTGTGGATGTGGGAATCATAAATCAAATTAATAGCTTATCAACTCCCAATTTAATACAATATTTATAAAAATCTCTCTTGAATTTTTTCATGCTCAGCACAATTCTTTTCAAAGTCTTTTTTACCATTGTGCACTAATCTCAACCAAAACAAATTCCCCCTTGGGTACTTTCAGTGTTTCGTTGGGGAATCTTTTACTTTAAAACAAATTACTGTCCATGTATTCAAGTTTAAATATCCATCAAGATTTTCTATTGCTATTAAATCTGTAAAACTCTTCTATAAAAATAATCCATGCAAATGTATAAGTACTAATATGGTAAAGACTGGAGATTTTTCTATAATATACACCTGTTAATTGAAATGCACCTTTTGAGTTGGACAATTTTGGAATGGTGAGGAATGACATTCTGAAAAGAGTTCTTCATACAATTTTTATATCTCAATTTTTGCAGTTTTTTTTTTGTT